ATTCCAAAAAAGTCCTAAATCGATATTTAAACGTAGGAGAATAGTTTTTGGAGCCATTAGATATTCGGACAAAAAAATGATACACATCCTTTCGAATATTACAAAACATGAGTACAAACCTAAATTCAGTAAGAGAAGACTCTAGTATTTGTTCCCTCAAGCACATTCGAGTAATAATTTTTCATGTCTGGATCTAAAATGTATCTTTGAAAAAAATTACATCATAGATCAAAACATCTATGAATACAAAAGCTCCAGCTAAGCCAGTACACTAATGTACATAATACAATTGTACCTTTGTCACAAACATAGATCATCACTTGTCTTGTAGTATTACTGGATAATACTAGAAGAATGTGGGAAGAATGTTAAAAGGAGAAACAAACAAACACACAAACAAATCAAATAAACACAATCCTAATAGCTTTTTNTTGGTGCAGTGCCCCGAAAGGCATCGCGCTTGGTGATACAATAAACTGACCGCCACCCTCGATTGTGCATACGGTAACCAGTCACCACATCCTCTGTCACTGACCCGTAAATCCACCCAATTCTTTCACCCCATTCGGTCTTGTCCTCGTACCTGCACTCCCAAAAAACTAGTTGTTCGATCATTATCATTCATATCTATATCTATATATATAATCTTATGAAATCCAGTAGGTGACTTGTGACTAATTAGAATATGGCACTGCAGTCTTACCAACATGAGATAACAGCAACTGCTTCAGCTACAGTTTGGGCATCAAGAGGTGGACGAGGCATGAGCAGGGTACCAGGGGGTCGACCGTTCTTGACAGAGACGTGATCGGCGAGAGGGCGGCCTTGGAACTCAGCTACAGGGATGGAGTCTGTAAATATGGTAGAGCTTCCAAACTTCTTAGGGAGGTCCAAATCAGGGTGATCCGTCAAAGGGTGAGCGTCAGAATCATCTTCCTCAGACTGAGGTTGATAATTAGTTCTGGCTGCGGATTTGACTTGCCCAAACATGCCTGTGTACTCGTTTGCTCTTGGTGGGTTGAAGCCATACAGTGCATATCGCCTGAACATGCAACCAGTTCCCACATACACTGGGCCTTGAAGACCATCCAATGCCCTCATATTTCCTGTTTAGTGCCCAATTAGTAAGAAAGACCAAAGCAGACGTCGAAGCCATTACTCAAAAGAGCAACACAACTGGCCATTAATTTGTAGATATTGTCGTTTTTGGACTTTTTTTTTTTCGGGTTCACTTTAAGGTTTTTAAAACGTGTTTACTAGGAAGAGGTTTCCACATCCTTATAAAGAATGTTTCGTTCTCCTCCCCAACCGATATAGGATCTTACAATCCACCCCCTTCGAAACTCAGTGTTCTTACTGGCACTCGTTCCTTTCTCCAATTGATGTAGGATTTCTCAATCCACTCCCTTCAACGCTCAGCGTCTTTGCTTGCACACCGCCTCGTGTTCACCCTCTTTCGGGGCTCAACCTCCTCGTTGACACATCATCTGGAGCTCTTATACTATTTCTAACAGCCCAAAACCATCCCTAGCAAATATTGTCCTCTTTGAGTTTTCTTTTGGAGTTTACCTCAAAGTTTTTAGAATGCATCTACTAGAAATTAAATTTCATTCCAAAAACACTTTTTAAGAGTTTGAGGTTTTAAAATTCTTCGTAGAATGAATTAAGGATTACCATCAAAGAAGACAGTGTTGTGGTTGGCATAACGATCAGAGGGATCGATGCCTTCAAATCTCTGAGGGAATTGAATGTAACAAATCCTGTCGCCACCTCGATCCATCATGAAGCACATTCCCTCTCTTATAGCTTGACAGTTGTAGAAATAATGGTCACAATCCAAATTGAGAATAAAAGGCCCATTTGATAGCACTGCCGAGGCTCGAACCATGGCATTCATGGCTCCAGCCTTCTTGTTGTGGTCATAACCAGGCCGTTTCTCACGTGACACGTATGCAAACATTGGAATTCTTATGTCAATTCCTGTGAAGTCCAATCTGTTCTCATCCGGACCTCCCATAACTGGGTCGTTTTCTGGTACCTTTGTCATTACCTGTGCAATTTCAAGCAAAACATAAATTAATTTTATAAATACATATACATTTTTTAAATAAAATTTTAAATGAAAATTGTGATAAAAGTAAATATAAATTTTAAATTTTACTTTGATTTTGATTTAGAAAACTCCAAAAATATTTATTTAGTCTTTATAAATTATTATATTTCAAACTCATTACTTGTTATTATTATAAAAATTAAGAACCTGCAAAATGCCAGCGTGGTCGCCCTTGGAGTGGTCGGCGGTTGAATTAATCCAAGTTCCAGGCCAGTGGGTGCCGTCGGCCATCCAGGTGGCCTTGGTGACCTTGACCGGCTCGGCCGGTGTCTCGCCGCCGTTCTTATCTCGAGCCAGTTTTTTCTCCTTGGCCTCCTCCCTGGAGTTGTACATATCACTCCTCTTTTTAATGCCTTCCGGTAGCCCGTTGATTCTGACCTTAAACTCGTCGTACTCTCTCTTTATCCACCGGCGGTCCTTCACAAAATCCCGCCGCTTCTTGTTCTTGGTTGGATCCGTTTTTATGTTGAAGTAACTGTCTGGATTTCTGGGTTCTATGTTGTGCTTTCGGCAAAACGGTACCCATACCTGTTTCTCATCAAAATCACACCCATTTCTCATCAAAATCCCTAAAACTACTCATTTAATTCAACCAAAAAAAAAAATAATAATAATAGTCCAAGCACACTACTAGTCGATATTGTTTGTCGGTCGTTACGTATTGCCTTCATCCCCATGATTTTAAAACACAGTTTGTTAGGATAGGTTTTCACACCCTCGTAAACACAATGTTTTATTCCCCTCTTCAATCCATGTAGAATCTAACAATAGTATCAAAGCTAGACACTAGGCAATGTCCACATTAGTACCAAGGAGTGGATTGTTAGATCCCACCTCAGCCGGAACATTTAAAAACCTCTCTCTAAAGAGGCATTTTAAAATTGGAAGACAATACGGGCCTAAATAGACATCTAAAAACTTAACTAGATTTAAACTAATTTTTATATATTCTAAAATAATTTCTAAACCCACTCAAGTCTAGGGTTTCTTTGTTCAAAATAAAGACCAATAAAGAAAACGATAGCATGCAATTCATTTCAAATTAGGAAACAGAACCTCCGCAAACCTAACAGCCTCCGCCATGGCTTCAAACGAAAGTATGGCGCCACCATCGTCCGAAATGTAGCACGACAGCTTTTCCACGGGGTAATCAACGGCCAGGATTGAGAGAATAGTGTTAGCCGTGACGAGTGGTGGTTCCTTCTCTGGGTCGGCGGTGGACACAAACACGTCGACTCCGGGAAGGTCGGACCGCCCAGACGGGTTGGTCGGAGTCGGCTTATCGAACTTTTCACGAAGCGCAGCGAGGTCGGTGGCTCGGTTTATAGGGTTGAGCTTTGGAAGAATATCCAAAAGCCATGAGAAAGCAAACCACACCTCACAAACAATAGACATTCCCCATAGCCACACTGCATCAGGGTTTGGGTTTCGGATTCGCCATGCAAGAAAGAACGCCAATACTACCATTCGAATGAACACCAAGAGCCTAATTTCAAACAAATAATTAGTACATTATAAATAAAAATGAAAAAATAAAAAATAAAACTGCAACTAATAATATATAAATATTATGAAATTTTAATTATCTATAAATTAACTTTAGACCTGTTATGATTTTGTTTATTTTGAGCATAAACTCTTATTACTATTTTGGTTTATGAAGAATGACCTCAACTCATGGAGATCTATTCCTTGTAAACCCATGATCTTTCCATTAATTAGTCGGGACTCCCTCCCGATAATACTCCCCTCAAACAAAGTACATCATAGAGCCTCCCCTGAGAACTATGAAGTCCTCGGAGCCTCCCCTTAATCAAGACTCGACCCTTTCTTGAGCCTTGAATAAAATACATCTTTTAATCGACATTTGAGTCACTTTAGACTATATTTCGAGGTTCACAATTTCTTTATCATCGGGATTCCATTGATATCAACTAAATTAAGGCATGATTCTAATCTTTAGGGTAACAAATGAAGCATAGTAAGGATTTGGTACCTGTAGGGGCTCAGAATAGCTGGCGGGACTTTAACTTTCCTCGTGAGCGGCCTCCATGGATTGTCCATGAAATCCGCCATGCTCATCCCTTCCGAAACATAGCCTTGATCCTGTTCTCCATCCTGCCAGTACGCATTTCCGATTCCGTATCTTCCTTTTGTTTCGAACAACCAGCGGTTGTGATCGAAATCAGACGTTTGGCTTCGCAACAGCATCGATTTATTGTTCGACGATTTCATCACCGACATTCTCCTATCCTTCGCGGCATCACCATCGCCGCCTCCGCCATTCGGATCCGAATCTCCGACTCGCCTGATCAATCCTCGAGCCTCAGATCCGAATCGAGTCGTAGCAGTACCGTCCGATTTGGAATCTGAACCCGTTCCTCCTCCTGGCTGATTATCAGGCGTCGGAGGCATTAAAACGGTGTAGTTTATGTAATCAGTTTGACCGGAATAGTCGCCTGACATGTCTAAATCGTCGTCGCGAGATAGACTTACGAATCGTCCACTTGACGTCCGGCGAGAAACCTTCACCGCCTGTGGTGGTCGTCCTGAAGAAGACGGTGAATTCGTAAGCGTCTTCCTCGGGCTTAAAGTCGCCATTTATATATATCGATTCTATCTGTTCCTGTTTTTCTGGTTATAATTCAATCACAAACGCTTCATCGCGTCAAATTTCAATGCAACAGATTCCAAAAGTACTTAGACCATGAAAATCGGCGATCCGTAAATGTGGAAGAAGCAATCGAGGACGTTGAATTTTGTGATTGAAGTGACTTAGGAGGGAGAGTCTGAATCCGTTTGAGACTCACTTGAACGGTGAAGAATTTCCCCCCTAATTTTAGCTTCTTCTTTGTTCCCTTTTTTCAAGCCTCGCCTCTCTCTCTCTCTCTCTCTCTCTCTCTGTCTCTCTCCCCATTAAGATTTTACAATTTTTATTTATTTATTTTTATCACTTTTTAATATTCTAATTCAGAAAATTAATTTAATTCACTATTTTATATTTATTTCCAACACTTTTCATCCATCTACCAATTTTAAAGTATATAAATAAATCGTTACATAATTTTTATGGTTTACAATTAGAGATATTAAATTATTATATATTAAAATTATTTTATCAACATTATTTGCACTAATTTTTTTTAATATAAAGTGTGCTTTGCATCCTTTTAAAGGTATAAATACATATTATTATTAATTTAAAAGCCCTTTTTATAATTATTTTGTTTTTTTTTTTGTTTATGTATTTTAAAATTATAATTGTTTTCTTTTTTAGTAAATATTCAACCTTTCTTAAAAATACATTTAAATTCTAAATTAAATTGAAAAAAAAACCTTTTTTAATTTTTAGGATGTAAAAAAAAAAAAATAATAAATCAAAAAATAATGGGCGAAAATAAAGTATTTATAAATTAAAATTTTAAATATATAAAAGGAGGAAAAAGGTCCAATAAAACTACAAGTTTTTATTTAAAAAAAAAATGTTAGATTAAATATCTAATCAATCTCTGTAGTTAAAAAAATGATTAATGGATTAATAAATTCCAATTTTGTGTTTTTTTAGGCAAAATTCAAAATTTTATCTAATATTTTATGAATTAAAAAATGTCAAACAAATTAGACTTATGAACACGAAATTTTGAAATTTTATTTGATACAAAATTATCAATAAATAATAAATAAATATATATATATATATATATGGCTTCAAACGATTTAGTCTTATTTTTATTTTATTTTTTAAAATTAAGCTTATAAATATTATATTCATACATGAGCTTACTTATTTTGTTGTCGGATTTTTTTACGATGTTTTCAAAATCTAACCCAATTTTTAAAAAATAAAATAACATTTTTTAAAATTTAGAAATGTATTATAAATTCAAATGTTTTCTTAAAAAAATTGATCAAGATTTGTTTTTTTTTTTTTTAATTTGTAAGAATTAAAACGTATAAATAATACTTCAAGTTTTTATTTTTAAAATTAAAAAATTTCTTTTATTTTTTAAAATTTTGATTAAGAATTCAAATGCATTAAAAAAAATATGAAAATTATTAAAAGAAATATAATAAAAAATAGTTATTAAAAAAAAAAACAGTAAATAGTTATATATAATTTAAACGAATTACAATGTCTTCGAAAACGGTGCTTTCAAAATTTTACATTTTAAAATTCGTGGCGCGAAAAGACTACAAATATGAAAGAGGGAGGGAATTTTAAAATTCATCCTCCTAAAATTTTCCGATATTTCAAGTTCGAGCAAATGAACAACGAGCGTCCTCCGATTAGGGTTTTCGGCCAGCGTTCAATTTCATCGTCTTTCCGCTCCTGTTCTTCAAATCCGTAATCTATCGGTCATGATTCCTATTTTTCTCTCTCGACGTTATGTGTTTATTAATTTGTTGTACGTTTTTAATTTCTGGTTCGAAACAGTTTCAAGAGTTCGAATGAAGTTTCCGAAAGCAAATCTACGAAGAAGAGCTCGCATCTGTCGCTCTCGGAATTCCTCGATCGAAAACTGCCGGAATCTTTCGTACTGCAGAGGACGGTGAAGGTAACGAGTTTTGCCTCAGTTTTTTTTCTCTGTCTACCTGTCAATTGGAGTTTTAGATTGCGTTTATTTAGGTCTGATTTTTCGATCGGACGTAGAAAATCAAAATGAGAAGACGACCGATGAAATTCAATGGTGATTTGAACTTCGGTGACGATTTGGTTTCTTCTTCTTTATTTTTATACGGCTTTAAAACACTATTTATTGATGAATCTTTAATTTCATGTGTATAATGCGAAATACAAAGGGGAAAAAGCGGAAAATCAAATTTAGAGTGTTAGGAAAGCCATTGATTCCGTTCTTTATACACTAGGGGAAGTCCACGCCCTTCTCCTCACTGCAGGGTCCAAGGGATGCAAATAGCTCCATGAATAAACCGACTGGAATTCATTATGAGACGGATTCCCAGACAGAATCAGCTATTTCAAAGGTGCTTTTTGAAGAGTTCAAGCGTTCTGAACCAAACCAAAGTCAAAGTTCAGTTTTAAGCGATGCTAGTGGAGCAGATATCTTCAGTACAGATGATATGCTAGATTCGAGGAAAAGAAAGATATTAAGTGAAGGCTTTGCTTCCACTACCCCATGTAATTGGCTTATTCCGTAACAATGTCTTGCTCAACTCTCGTAAACTATGAAGATTTTGTGTTTGAATAGCTGTTGATACTTGAACTTTGTTAACTTTTACCATCAGGTGAGAGCCAAGCGAGGAAGAAGAATGTGGTAGTTCTTGGAGGCGACCCAAAACCCGAGAAAAAGAGGAGGGAGGCGGTTCATGATATCAGAAACAAAAAACCAAAACCTCTCTACAATCACTGTAAGTATTTGCCATCTTCTAAATACGCTTTTGTTTCTCATATGAATCGCCTCCTTCCCTTTTTGCTCGGATTTTAAACTGCATATTGTTTTTGAGATTAGTTCCAAACTTTTGTGTCTATGTCCATTAGTTTGTAACTTTAATCTTCAAGGGTGTAATAGATTCTTAAGTTTTTAATTTTAGGTTTAGGTCAGTGATATATTCAAATTTTTTAAAAATGATTTGATTTATATGATTAAATTTTATGTTTAATTTATTTCTGTATTTTGAGAAAGGTTAAAATAAAAAAATTCAAAAACTTATTATCCCATTAAATACCATTCCAAGATTTACAATCAAATAGATATAAATTTTCAAATTTAAAAGACCAAATAAACTTCATATTTACAGTTATATATGGTAACTTCTTCCGTTTAAACTGTTTTATTAACCTTGTGATTCATGGTAACTTCTTGATTTTGGCAACTGAGCAGACGCAAGTGGCGGTGGGTGGTGGGACTGCGACATGGAGGGTGTTGATAGCGAAGAGGTTGGGCTTGGTGAAGTATGGGAAGGAGTTGGGTCTACTACGCTTGGAGGAATAGAATGGCATTGAGTTTCTTGGCGCTTCACATCCTCTTCACACTGTAAATATTCTCTTTTTTCTAGACTATTTTTTGTCATTTTGCTTCTAATCATTGTCTTAGATTGTTTGACAATTGAGTTTTCTATAAAATTTTCTTCTAGAACTGTTTTGTTGATTTGTGTTGGAATTTATCATTTTTCTTCTCGATTCTCTGAATGGAATATTGATCGTATTTAGTATCTCTATAAACCTGCATTAGAGAAATTGTTAATGGATAGTTTTGTATAATTGATATAAGTAATTTTTTGTATTTACATTTTAATTGATTAAGACATACACGTTGAACTTAGAGATTCGATATTTGAATCTCTCGATTGTCACATTTTAAACAAATAAGATTTAAAAACATATATATTTTCATGTATTGAAACAAATTGACAAGTTAAGTTTAGTCGAGTGACATGATAATTAAATTTAAAAGAAAAAAAAGTTTCTAACTCATATTTTAAATTTAATTATATAAGATTAAATTAAAAAAAAATTAGACGATAGAGTTTAAATAATAAAAAAATACCAAATAACTAAACACTTTTTTTTAAAATATATTTTTAGTCGTCCTTGCGAAAAAAATGTTGGGTGACATGCTAATTATCACAGATTTTAAATGATGGGTGACTTTACTTACGTCATATTTTAGTAGTTAAATAAAAATAAAGTTGCTTGTCCCATCAAGGGGTGGTGGCGCAGTTGGCTAGCGCGTAGGTCTCATAGCTTAAGAGTTATCCTGAGGTCGAGAGTTCGAGCCTCTCTCACCCCAATCACCTTTTTTCCTTTCCCATTTTGCGTTCTCCTTCAATAGAGTCCAGTGGGCTTCTACAAAGCCCACATATTGATGGGCCATTGATTCAATTCTCCTTCAATAGAGTCCAGTGGGCTTCTACAAAGCCCACATATTGATGGGCCATTGATTCAATCCTCACTCAATTTATTAATAAATAAAAAATTATTAAAAATGGGACAAAATAATGAAGTAGTTGATAGGGGTAACAAAGAGTTTGAACATAAGAAGGAGAGTAGTAAAGATAGATTCCAAATTAAGAAGGAAAACAAACACATTGAATGATGGAATCTTTCAATAGCCAAAGAGAGCAAAAAATGAGTGTAATGGGACCATTTCATTAATTTAAGGTAAGTAATTGAAACTCCATCTTTAATAAAAAAAAAAAGTATATGCTTTTTAATTAAATATAATTGTGTTTTATTCTTGAAATTAAGATTCGATTTCTTATCAACAAGCAATCGAAGCTCGATTTTACTTGTTAGATGATGAAAGTCTCACATCGGCTAATTTAGGGAATGATCACGAGTTTATAATCAATTAATACTATCTCTATTAGTGTAAGTCAAAACAAAGCCATGAGAACTTATACTCAAAGTAGACAATATAATACCGTTATGGAGAGTCATGTTCATCTAACATTTTTAACAATATATGCTAGTATTTTGCTCTTAAAATTAAAGCGTAATTTTAATTATTGAATTATGAGTTTGCGTAAAAAAAATGTCATAACTTAATTAACACCAACCCGTTCTAAATATTTTAATTTCGGGTATAAAGATATAAATATTTAGATTTGGGTGAAAATTTAATTAACTCGCGTAACTTTTAGATTTTGGTCACGGATTTTTTAAAACCAACCTATAGATTATAAATATTAAATTTATAGAATTATAGATATTTAATTATTTTGTATAGATATATTAAGCATAAAATAAAATTAAAAATTCCGAATATTATCAAGCAAAAAAAATTAAAATTAAAAATTTT